CAATAATTACTTCTCTTCAGATATAAATGCCTGTCCTACTGCCAATCCTCTGTTTGGATATACAAGATCGTGTTTGCCAAATGGTAAGAGATGTGTCTTGATTGGTAGTTTTGCTTCCACAGTCCTCATCAGGATGAATTGTCGTCCATCTCTAGTATATATCGATCCATCGCACAGCCTTGGATTCACTCTTTTTGTTTTTTAAAATCAGGTTTTATTTTGATTCAGGCGGTGTAGAAGCACCTGGCTTTCTCTCTTCCTCTAGTCCCCCCCACCTCTGTTTATTTTTCTCTCTCTCTGTCTTTCTCTCTCTTTCACTGTAGCTCTTATAAATATGCTGAAATGAAATATATACTCTGTTGTTAGTGGTGAATGATGTCTTGTGATACTCTCTCTACGCCTTTGGATAGTGCTGTGTTTATTGTGTATGATGTATTCATATTAGTATTTACGATAATGATAAGTCAGAGAACAAAAAAAAATTATCCAAGACTCTCCAGAATTCTACTGTATTCTTATTATATGGGATCCATGTGAAACAAAATGAAATAAAATTGAAATTATTCTGTTGAAGGTTAAAATGTGTACTTCTGTTCACAGGCTGCTCGTCTGTTCATTTACTTGGTTGATTGTTTGGATTTATTAAAGGAATAGTTGATCCACAAAATGACCTTTTATAAATCAGTTAGTCATGTTGTGTTGCCTAGTGACAGTAACATTAAGTTTGGCATTGAAAATAAAATTTGGCACTAAAAAATAAAACACAGGCATTAAAAATGACTTTTATTTTATTTTGTAATGTTTAGTTTTCTGATGTGTTTGAAAAAAAGTCTCAAAAAAAGATGTTGAAAAAAATAAAATAAATAGATAAATAAAATAGATAAATACTACTACTGCCTATTAAATGTTCTTCAGTGTTTTTATTTTCCAGTGGCAACTTTTATTTTTGTCAAAATGCATTGTGACTGTTCTAGCTCCACACTCAAACTCCTCTCCTCCATGCCAATACAGTGACCATAGACTGTATAAATGACACAGTGACACTGTAAAATAAAAATTAAAAAAATTAATTAATTTAAAAAAAAACATGACACTGTGACATGAGTGACACTAAAAAACCCCACAAAAATTCAAAACATATCAAAATAAAATTTAAAAAAAGGTATTTTTAATGTCTGTTTTGTTTTTCAATGCCAATTTTTATTTTAGATGCCAAAACTTACTGTCACTGTTCGAGCTCCACAAGCACCCACAGTGAAGAGTGTCTGCAAAAACCCACTGCCACAACTATACAGCAGCAATACAACTAATACAACAGCGCAACCATAATACTCAGGCCTCAAGTGTGACAAAGTGCATGTGCTTGTAACCAGTGTTAGGGTGAGTGTCATGGTGGCAGTGAGATGTTTAACCGAAGGGAAAGTACCAAGTAGAGGGTTTGCATGGTTCAGATATTTCTGAGGTATCTCTATAACTGGCCTATATTTCTCATACAGCAGGCATTTAACACCATTTCAGGCAGGCTGTGGGCCAGTGTGCAGGTTAGTTTGACCCAGTATGTGGTTTTCATGAGGACTCTGCATGGCACTCCCTGGTGGCCGGGGAGTGCATCAACTAAAGATGTTCTCAGAGAGTATATTTCACAATTTTAAAGACTTTTCCATGTAAATAATGTCATTATGAACACGATTTAGGACAAAGACAGAGCACATTACTGTTGCAAAATGCACTGTAGACACAGCAGTGGTCCTAAACTGATTATAAGTTCATGAATTAGTTAATTTGAATTGATTGTTGCCTCTTTGCAGTTAATGGACACTTAGAGTGTAAAATACAGTTCAAGTAGTGTAATGACTATCAAAGAGGAGATCATGTTTCCACAGAGACCTCAAATCAACACAGTAAACATTTATTAATTCAAGATGCCTGTATATTAAAGTGTAATGTCGCGCGCGCACACACACACACACACACACACACACACACACACAGCCCTGTGTTACTGTGCAGGTCTTATCAGTTGGCCTGTGTCTGTAGTTGCCAAAACAAATATGACTGTTTCAAATAAGTTTCCTGTTGAACTTCTCTCTGTTTTAATCACCAGCTGTGTGTCATACTAAATCATAACCACAACTGGCCTGTAAATCTTCACAGTTACAGAAATGATTCAGCAATTAGGGTGTGATGCCTTCACTTATCATTGTAAATACCAGAGCTCTGAGCTAAACGAATAGAAACTAGTTGGAGGTCTCATCTTATGAACAATGATGGACAAAACACAGTTGTGAAAGTAGTAAGTCGTCACTATGAAAATACTCCACTGCACGTAAAAGTCCCACATCAGCTCTTTGAAACTTTACTTTACTAAAATGTACAGAGGGATTTACACCAAACTGTACTTTAAGTATCCAAAGTAAGAGAACCCATTATCAAAAATGGCCCCTGTCAGTGTTATATTATGATTACCAGAACATAATAACTGATGCATTACCAAGTAACTTTAATGTTGTAGTAACTAAGTTAAACTGGTTTATTCTCAAACAATATATGTGACGTTCATGCACATTTACTCAGGTAAGCTGCTGCTACACGAAGAAGCTTGATTAGCAGTGAAAAGTAACAAAGTACATTTACTCAAATACTGTACTTAAGTACAGCTTTGAGGTACTTATACTTTACTTGAGTATTTTCATTTCATTCTACTTTATACTTCTACTCCACTACAAATCAGAAGAAAGTAATGTACTTTTTTTAACTTCACTACATTTATTTTACAACTTTAGTTTCTAGTTACAGATTTAGAATATAAGAAGATATCACTAGCAAATAAAATCATATATATTATGAATTAAACTACACAGCAGAACATATTATCACATTACATCACATTATCTTCTTGTATGGTTCAATCTAATGTTTGCTCCTTGGCTCAACCCTAAGGTAGGTGTTATCTGAGTTATAGGGCTTGTAAATGTCCCTTGTTTGTATTTGCCAAGCTCAATAAATAATCATTGAAAGTTTAACAAAAAAAAAAGTGGTGGAAGAAGTGCTCAGCTAAGTAGCAACACCACAGTGTAGAAAAACATTTTTTTTAAACAGGTAAAACCCTGCATTCAAGTGCAAAAAGTACAAAAGTATTAGTATCATAATATACTTATATAATATAGTTAAAGGTCGAGTGTGTAAAATTTAGGGGGATATAATATAAGAGGTAGGTTTTGTCTAGTATATAATCACTTGAAAATAACAGTTGCTTTTATTTATTACCTTAGGATTAGCAGTTTACATCTACATAGAGAGCAGATTCCTGTCTACAAATCCGCCATGTAACACTGCCATGTTTCTACAGTAGCCCAGAATGGACAAACCAAACTCTGGCTCTGGGAAAAGCCATTCACGTTTTTCGCATTTTCACATCAGCCACCACAGTTAGCATTCACTCTGCGACTAGCTTCCTGAGACCCCAGCTTTTGTTTGGCTTTTGTTTGGTATGCATTTTTAACTTCTCTGAGTTATCTGGGAAAGTAGAAGTAAGAAGAGAAGTAAAAAAAAAAAAAAAAAACATTGTCTTTGAACAAGAAATTTTTTGGAAAAATTATGTTGTGATATGGAGACATGCAGCTTATCTAAAAGCCTTGTGATTTGTTCATTTTGTAACTCTGAATTAAATTTTTCCTGCTCAGGAATAGTCAATCACACCTAATGTCCTCAAACAAGATGATAATTTAGTCCCACTGTCCTCAAATGAGTACTTTAACAGCATTTTGGCCCGTTACTGTTGCTTAAATTGGTCATATTTGTATACCATATCAAACTACAGTCGTTATTTAGCACAAATAAAGAAGTTTCAATCATAGAATTTGTTCAGGTTTTGTACCTTGTCTACTTTTGTGTTGGAATCGGCTGTAGACTGAGCATAGAAGTGTCCACAAACGAGGACAACAGGTCTGAGTTGAGCAGAATTAAGTATAAGGAGCAGGAAACCCAAAATGTGATGTCCTCATATGTGGACTAGAGTAGGGGGCTGAGGTGTTGTTTAATGAGAAGCTATATATATATATATATATATATATATATACATATATATTCCCTTTTAAATGGTAAATGGTGCCACACAGGAACATGCATTTGTGGGATGAGCAGCAGAGCTTAGTATGTGGGTTGCACCCATGAAAAATTTGCCAAATCTTCTCTGCCAGTGCCAAACAAGTTTTTTTTTTTTGCTGTTGACTCTTGTTTGGTGTTGTTTGGTGGATTGGATGATTTAAGTCTGAAGAAACAAGACATATTGGCAATTTAACAATTCATTCATTTAACAAACAGGAGCCTCAATAGCTTCCTCCCACAGTCCAAAGACATGCAGATTGGGGACTAGGTTAATTGATAACTCTAAATTGTCCGTAGGTGTGAATGTGAGCGTGAATGGTTGTCTGTCTCTATGTGTCATCCCTTTGATAGTCTGGCTTCCTGTCCAGGGTGTACTCTTCTTCTCTCCCTTTGTCAGCTGGGTTAGGCTCCAGCCCCCCCGCGACCCTCAAGAGGATGAAGCGGTTAGAAGATGAATGAATGAATGAATGAGACTCAATAGCTTGTGGAAGAATTTTTCATGGGCGCAACCCACATACTCAGCTCTGCTGCTCATCCCACAAATGCACGTTCCTTACAAATGTGGCACCATTTAAAAGGGAAATAAACAGGCTTTCCAACGTATAAGATTTATTGCCTAGACGCATTGTTACAACAAAGAAATAAATCTATTAATGAAAACAGTTTTCTTGCTTTTAACAAGTTTCAGTGACTTTCTGTAGAGTTTAAGCTCATTCTTGAAATGTGTCAGACAGGGTTTAGTTTTAAAGTATCTTAATTTATGAATGAAAAACTTTCCCAGTAATAATCCAATATAAGTAATAAAGTCAGAAGACAAATGGAGATTAAAGCATCAGTTTAGCAACAAGTCTGTGCAGTTTCCGAGGAGCCCCTGAAGGCATCACGGAAGCAGCTCGTCTCGGCGGTGCCACAGTGCCAACAGCAGCTCCCCTTGAGAAAAGTGAAAGCCAACGCCCCACTGTCAGCTCCTGAGCCCAGCCCTCCCTCCTCACATACACACCAGAGTTTCTTCCGAGCTGCAGTGGACGAGACTGACTCCAACCAGAGTCCATTTCCCAGCACTTTTCAGTGGAGAAGTTGATTCACCCGAGTGGAGGGACGGAAAAACGAGCGGGGAGCAGCAGCGGTCAACACTGGGACTGTTTCTCTCTTTAACTCGGGGACAAGTTTGTTTATTCAAACGCTGCTCGTCGGTTTGAGGCGATAAGGCTCCCACAGAAACACACTGACGGTGTTCAGTAAGTTATTTGTGACAGAATGGCTGACACAACCGCAACCAGCGCCGGTGCGAACTGCATGGAGAAGCTGAAAAGTTATGTGAGGACCCAGAAAGGGTTCATCCTCTCTGCAGAAATAGTAAGTTCACTGACCTGCTGCTAACATGGAGCTACTGTGTGTGTGTGTGTGTGTGTGTGTGTGTGTGTGTGTGTGTGTGGGGATGGTTACAGCTGCTTATGAAACCATGGAGTATGTTGTGTGTAAAGGTGCTTTTGTAGGCTGCAACTAATTAATATTTAATACACAACAAAGTGCTTTAATGTAGCCTATATTGTTATTGATTTATCCTCACTATTATTGATATAAATGTTCTTTATGTCACTAATATCCTCCATAAGCTGCTTTATTCCCACTTTTTAAAAAGCAGTGTACCCAGGGAATGATGAGCATGTGGTGTGGGGGTTAAGGGATCATGAGCAGAGGTTAAGGGTTCCCACCTGTCACTTGTGCGCCACTGTTTTCTCATTTGGCACCAAGGAGCCAAATGCTGAGTGTTAATGGCACATGGAAGGTCATGTGGGTTAACTCGACCCACTGACTGGAGTGTCAGGAATCCCCCTTTTCTACTTAGCACCACAGGCTGCACACTGTGTAGGCAGATATGCAGTATCCTAAATATGGTGAGGGGAAAAAGCAATGCATATCACATTCCTGCCAATATAAAGGCTCATAAAGTTTGTTTTTGCACATCTGGCTCTAGTTACAAGGAATATGTACGCCTACAGAGGTGGAAATAGAAACATCAGAGCAGCTCTTCCGTCCATATAATGAGTAAGGTGTGTGGTTTTTACGTGCTGCACTTCCTGGCAAGGCACAACCGCTTCCTCACTGGGAAGACTTCTCACTTGATTGTCTGTATTTGCATTTCACAGCGGTGGGTTATCTCCCCACGACTTGTTTTGACCCTAAAATATTTCACTTAAGTTCTGCATTTTATCCGGTTCTCGCCAGAAGATGCAAAGAGTATTGTCACTTATCACACAGGGTGCTGACCATGTTACTGTGCTACTGTGTGATTCGTTTCCCAGCTCCAGGAAAGCAAGGTTCTGCTCTCATAGCTCAATAGAGTCATTATAAAGCAGGCCCTCAGATGCTGGTGGTCAGTGGTCCACCCACTGTAAAGTTTTTTTTCTTCTCAGAGGTAATGGAAATTCCAGGCTGCGTGTGAAGTTTGTCCCCGGGAACAAAGAATGTGCGAATTGCTTAGCACACATCTTTTGGTGTGCCATTCACGGATTGGTTCGCGCTTGGCTGGGTACACTCTGTCGGTAGTTTGTTGTTTCCCCTTCCACTCCTGTCCTTACTGGAGCCTGATAAAGGAAGTGGTGGATGTCTGACATGGATTTCAGTGCAGGGAGAGGGCTGTGGGAGTACAACAGGAAGACAAATGTCATTACTGCTTGTTAGGTCCAACCTAATCGGAAATAGGGGGCTTAACCCTGGCATCCAGGTCTAAATATTGCAGCTGATAAATCAAAAGTGTAAAGGAATTAATTTTCCCTTTTCAGCTGACAAGTCTTGACGGCGAGGCCTGTCAAATGACATTTAGAGCTATTCTGTTTTTCCTATTAGTCCAGCTGTCAGAGGCATGACCATACTTGAATGTTTGAAGCCACAGAGCAACTCACAGATCCCGGCCACACACCCATGTAAAGTAAATTTCAGTTTGTCATGCGACACAGTTCAGCCAGTAGTGATAAGACAGGGTGAGTCATGCACCGAGTTGTGTTATGTTTAGAAAAAAAAGTTTATCTCCGTACTGAAGAATGTCTTAATCAAAAGAAAGGGTGGAGGAAAAGCAGGCAGGAGAATGACAGTTGACGAGATGATGAGTAGAGAGTGATGAAATGAAACTGAACTTTCCATTTTGCTCTCAGCACACATGGTATACACTTTAGCGAGCCACAGAAAGTGCTAAAAACTGCCCCAAAACGTAAGTGACTTCCCTAGCAACTGTTGCTGTTTGGTGTGTCTCTGTACCACGGACTCGCTCTTGGCACTCATGTTGCTGACTATAATTAGCCAAACGTTCACAACAATTTTCCTCCAGTCAATTTTTAAAAGAGCAGCTCATTATACCGATGTGAAAAGATCCTAGCTGGGATCTCAAGAGCCGGCCCGTGCAAACAGATCCGCCGCTGTGTGGAAAACATAAAGGTGTCAACATCCCGGAGGCCTTTCTTGTTGTGAGGGACTTGTGTAGTGGGTGTTTCTCTGTGTGGCGGCCTCCTCTGGAGCCTCAGTAGTAACTCTGGCCTGCATAAAGCCTCTTTTGTGTGGGACCTTGGCCTCAGCCGCCTCGGTACTCTACAGAGGCAGCCTGTGCCAGTCTCCTGAACACATGAACTACTGATGCATCTGGCTGGCTGGCTGTGTGTTTGTGTAACAGTTGCGGCTGAGGGGAGGGGAAGCCATAGTGACAGATGTAGGGCTAGTGTCGAGTCACTTACATCATGTGTGTATCGTGTAGACTGCAGTGATTTGACACTGGCTGCTGGGGTGTCTGTGTCTGAGAATAAAACATTGCAATGTGCAAGACGGGCTTTTTTAAAATACACATCAGGCTCAGTGTCTGATTTATTTAGTACGTGTAACAAGAATAAATTATTTGACTTGTGACAGGAAAGCGGTGCAGATAAATGTTGAACACCAGACTTCAGTTTAGTGGATCGTGTTTTAGTACAGAGTTTATGATTTAATTTCTAACTTAAATTTTATCACTTATTTATTGTCACATGCTGATACAATATGCATAGAGAAATCTAGAGTACAAATACATTTCAAACAAATATGTTGAACATTTAATGGTTCCAGCGTCTCAAGAATATGTTGACCTCCCTTGTTTTGGGGCAGCTCAAACAGGTAGTTCAGGTAGATCAGATCAGGTAGTTTACTAATCGGAAGATCAGCAGTTCGATCCCCAGCTCCTCTAGTCTGCATGTCCAAGTTTCCTTGAGCAAGATACTGAACCAAATTGTTCCTGATGGCTGCTCCATTGGTGTGTGAGTGTGTTAAAAACTGAGTAGCAGGTGGCGCCTTCTATGGCAGCCTCGGCCACAGTGTATGAATGGGTGAATGTGACTCATAGTGTAAAAAGCGCTTTGAGTGGTCGGAAAACTAGAAAGATGCTGTACTGGTGCACGTCCATTCACTATGTGCAGGGTTCTCACGGTCTTAAATTCCTAACGGGGGTAATGATATATTGATCTGGATTCTTATATCGATTCAGTGATGGATGATCTAGTATTATCATGCAAAGTGAAAACATCGATACATATTGCAATCTTTAAGCTACGGCTTTATTTTGAAATTCCCATAGCACATCTGTGTCACCAGCTCCATCCAAACACATTCCCTTCTTTAACATTCAAACAGTGCGAGTGGCATAATGTCAGGCAGATAAGAGCTAGCAGCCAAGAAAAAGACAATGAGAATAGTTTTTGATATCATCTCACATAGTGTTGCACAGTATACCGGTACTGAAATTGATTCAATTCATTAATTTAGTTAATTTATTTTACTCATTTATGCACACAAACGCCTTTCTTGTTCCTATTGGAGCACAGATTGCACAAGTGGTGTGTATGACAACACCTGTATCAACATTCACAGCTGGCGCACGTGAAAAAAGACAAGAGAAAGTCTGCCTCGCAAAGGGAGACAACACGAGACAACACAAACTTGGTGGAACATTTGAGTTACCAAACCGTGACGTCCGTACTGAGGTACTTACCGAACCATGTTTTTTTTGGTACCGTTACACCCCTACTATTTATTGTTCTAAAGGTTTGTATCCAAAAGGACTTTCCTTAGGAAAAGTACCGAAGAGTATCGAAAAGTATCAAAATTCATATTGGTATTGGTACCGAAACAAAGATTTTGGTATCACGACAACACTAATCTCACATCAATTGCAGGCCTGTAAATTGAATCAAATCGAAATCTTATTGTAGTTGACTTTAGGATATCAGCAAATCGTTGTCCAAAAAGTCCATAAAATATTGTATTGTGATGAAGCTTGTGATTTACATCCCTAGAATATACATTGTTTTGGCTACTGTTTAAGATTAATTCCTAAAAATCCCAAAACATGTCTAGTGTTACTTGAAATATATTCCTTGTATATTTAAATTTTATTGTTGTGCTACGTGACTATTGAAATGTCATTAGTATTAGGCCTACATGATACACAGAGACCAGACTGGCACTGCCAAAGCAACAATCCCTTTTGGAGTAAAGAAACATGCTGTCACATCGGGAGAGAAACAGGACATTAATATATTAATAACTAAGGCTTTCACACTTAGATTTAAGGCATGTAAGATTTGTAAATATTCACTGTCAGTGTGGTAAATCGCTAAATGACACTGGTGACAGTTCAGCTGGTGGTTAACGTTAGCTTGACTGGGAGGCTGCTGCAAGTACAGTCACACAGCATCTGACTGTTGTCTCCAAATTAATCTCAGCATGTAGATCAAACTGTTGGTTATTTACAGACAGCTCACAGCCTCATGATATCTGGTGTTATCATTCAATCATATTAGATTGAATCAAGTATCATAATCTGGATATTTATACACGTATAGATGTCCAGATAAGCATTATCTGACTGCTGTTTTGGGTCACTGATCTGCTTGCCATTGCACAGGCTCCGACAAGGTCGCACAAAAACTATTGGACAAGTCCATAAAACAAAGTTGTTGTTTATTTAATAACAAGAAATAAATGCATACGTTCTTGTCAAAATATAATCCAAACACATGCCAAAATGCACTGACATCTAAAGGATCTTTGGTTTTCTATACCTCAAAAATGGGTGTGGCCGTCATGTTTGGCCGTCAAGTATCCGTATATGCAGATTTGGTCTTTGGGCATATTATGTAGCTAGTTCAAAAAATATAAAAACAGCTACGCACACCAAAACTGCTCCTTCTGGAAATTTTAATCATATCACCACATGACGTTTTGGGCGCCAGCCCTTCATCAGACATGATATTTTTGTATTTGTTCTTCTGTCCAGCACCCAGTATTCATCGTTTTTGGATGTTCTTGCTATTTTTTGAGTCTTCGTATGCAGCTAGCTGGCGGCAGTTTTTCCTTATCCGCTGTGAGGGTCCAAGGACAGAGAGCTGTCTTATGCTGTAAAGCCCTCTGAGGCAAATTGTGATGTGTAATATTGGGCTTTATAACTAAAACTGAATTGAATTGAATCTGCAAATGCTTGGGAATTGTCTGGCTGTATCCATGTATAGGCATACACTAGTTACAGAAAATGGGAGTGGGGTAAAATATAGAAAAGTTATTAAAGTTTTGAGAATTCATGGTTGAAATGTGTGGGAACCTAGATTTTAGTAAAACTGAACTTGATTTCTGGGCTGTTTTTGGACAAAAAAAGGACACTAGTGGTTTTTTTTTTGTTTATTGTTTTTTTTATAGCTTTCAGGTGTTAAAAAAATCAAATGATTAATCAGTAGAAAAAAATAATCTGTAGATGATTTAATTATGAAAGTAGTCATTGCAGCCCTAAAGTGTATGCTGGCACAGTGTGGAGGTGGATGTGCAATCTTTCCACTGTATAACAATGGAACATTTACATAATGTCACACTTGTAAAGCATCTTTTGTTCATGCTCAAGTGCAGTTATGCAAATATCAAATCTATGTTGTAGAAAATGACAATAGAATAAACACTGTTTGGTGTTTTTAAGTGAATTAAACCATTAGATGGAGGATTTGTTCTGTTACTGTTTGAAATTTTCACTCCTTCACAGCTGTCATATGTCCGTGTTGTGTGAATGTATCTTCCCACACAGTATTACAGCAGCAAACAATAGCGGTATTGAAAAAAAAAAAGGCTGATACTGGTTCAGGGCGGTAGGCCGCCTGAGTTTATGATTTCTGCACGTTGGCAGCATTTCAGTGGAATGGACTGAGAAGAATGCACTCTGGCTTTTTTTCCCTCATATGGAAAAATAAGATCTTGATGGAACAAATACGTGCTGTAAATCGCATGCGATAGACAGACTGACAGAGTGCGTTAAAGTCCAGCCAGTTGTCTCACTGTGCAGAAAGTTTTTTTTTTTGTTGTTGTTTTTGGCAAAAATGTTTGTTATCATGTGGATGTTGAATTGTGGACTGACTGGAGTAAATAAAACAATGACGGCTTTGTTGGAGTGATTTACTGTCTGACTGGCCTCGGCTATTGACTGGAGTCAGATCTCTGTGCATCACTGTGCAGCGAAATGGTTGGTTGTCTCTCAGGTGAGCTGCAGCTGTTACATAAAGTCCTTCAGCATGGGAGGAATTTGGGCAGCATCTGTTACTTCTCTGACATAACTGTGAAGTATTGTGGGATGTCTTCACCATTCTCAAAATCATTAATCTCTCTGTTTATTGCTTTCCCCACCCTCTCCTTTCACTCTGATCCCTGTTAGTTCATCAGTTTGATTATCTTGATCTGCTACGCCGCATCTGTGTATGGAGGCTACTCCGCCGTGGCCATCATTGAGATGATCTTCGCCATGATCTTCTTTGGCATCTTCATGATGGAGATGGACAAGCAGATCCAAGTGGTCAACTGGGTCTGGAGTGTGAGTCCTCTACGTATCTTACAACACGAACTTACAGAAAGCATACACACACAGTCATGCGCACGTGTGAGCACAGTTGCACAATGCTTCATCTTCTGCTTCCTTCTTTTTGTGCAGGATCTTTTCCGTGCTGGTATTGGTGCAGGACTTTACATCATCACTTCTCTTATCTGTGTGATTAGAGGAGCCGGGGACGGTGCTCTTATTGCAGGCGGGGTCAGTTAAGTCGCCGTGAGCTGAAATTATTTATGTGCATGTTTTGTTGTTTGTTTTGACGACTGTAAACTATTATCAGTGAATCTGTTTTATTGTAGGTGTTGAAACTCAGTCATCATTGAGTAATATGGCTGTTTCAAATCATATCTCACGCTTCCTTCCTGTTTAATTCTAGTGAGGACCACAAGACTTGAGTCACAAACAAAAACTACAGTGGCCCTGAGAGCTCAATGTACTGCAAATTAAGAAACCACATACAAAAAGACGCAACCTAAGCAAATGAGGAAACAACTTCAATAATTTGACACACATGCACAACTTTTAGAAAACATCTTCACCAACTTGACAAAACACAAGTCAGCTATTCGTCTGTGGTGTTGGAAAATGACCTAAAATCTAAGTTCTTGTGACTTAATGGAAAGATGTGTACGATTTAGTGGCATCTAGTGGTGAAGGCTGCAGATTGCAACCAGCTGAAACTTCTCCTCTCAGAATTCCTTTAGTGTTATGTGCAGGAGGTCAGCAGAATTTTCCACAGAGGTCTCTTCCTCTCTAAAACTAAAAGACCAGTTGCTTAAAACACTGAACAAAGCAGTTTCACATTACAAATCAGTGTTTCTGCAATGCTTTTCGGCATGTCGCAGACGAGCTGCTAGCCCAGCACCTGCTAATGTGAGCTCACTTATTTTCTCTGATAACATTACATGTGACCAACTTATATCTGGTCCAGACATTTAGGAGTTATTTACTTTTTTATCCACAAATGACTCCTAATCTCCAGAACAAATAGACTTGGTGATTTAAACTGGTAAAAAGGCTGAATTAAGCAGTTTCACATAAAAAAAATCAGTGTTTTTCCGATGCTCTTGTCGCAGAGGGGCTGCTTACTACAGTGGCTGATGTGAAAACATGAAAATGAGAGTGGTCCTATCAAGAGCCAGTGTTTGGTTTGTCTGTTCTTTGGTACTGTAGAAACTCTACACAAGAGGACCTGCTCCCTATACAGATAAAAATGGCTCATTCTAAGATGACAAAAACACAGTGATTCTTATTTTCAGGTCATTATACACTAAAGAAAACATACTTATTATTTTATATTCCATTTCTGCCAATATATGCCCCTAAATCCAACACACTGGACCTCTAAGACTGGCATGATTCAGATATTATTGCAGATATTCTAGCAGTAGCCTTTTGCTGTTATGATAATATCTGAATTACGCAATCACAATGACAGTTAGCAGATTTCAGTAACTTCATTTGCCACAAACCAAGGTAACAACAACTGTGTCCCGGCCATGTGTATCACTTCTTAGTGTCCCCTGAAAACAGTTTATGTTGTTTGTTTGTTTTTTTTTTCTAAATGCTGCACATGAGACGTCAAATTGGTGAGGATGTCTCTTCATTGGCATGTTTTCTTGATTTATAGTGCATTGAGCTCTCAGAAATCATAAAAAAAACCTTCAGGCTGACTCAGAATCAATCATGAAGAGAGACATCCACTTAGAGTGCATGAGAAACTGGAGGCAGGAAGGGAGGCAGTGGACACACACACACACACATATATACAGACAGTACCAAATGAAAGTAGTGCAGCATACAGCCACTAATTATATTATTAATTCAGTTAGAGTCATTTAACAAGCTTCACGGGAAATGGAAAGGAGCTGGAGGGTCATGAGGAACATCAAAAACACACAAAGAAAACACACAAAAGCAGGCTGTGGTGAAAATGCTGCTGATACATCTGATGTCTTGTGACAAATACAGAGGTCAATGCAGTAACAACGTATAAAGAGCGTGAAGCCTGTTATGGTGTTAGAGTGAAATGAGTTTAAAATTAAAATTTATCACAACCCAAACCATGACGACTCGCTGTCTTATCAGTTTGTTTATTTTTAGTTAACTATTTTACATCTCCTGATATTTGTGTGATGTGCTCACTCCACTGTACGTCTGCTCCAAGTGAAATTTCTGTAGATTAAAATATAAATTTCACATCTCTCTCTTTTTACCACCAAAACCTTTCTTGTGGCTTGTGCAAACCCAACCTGCACTATTTTTACGCCTGCTCATTTGTTTGATACATAGACCACAGGTGTTTGGGGCTAAATGCATCACAGCTGACACCAAATCTGACCCACGCGTGTTTCCGTCAAAATCACAGTCATTTCTCCAGTTGTGGAGTAATCTTGTCATCAGCCCACCTAATCTGAAATCAGTTATGTAGTTTGTGTAGCCTCAAGTCAACATGAAAAGAGTGTGGGACTAAAAGTGTCTTCTGATGTGAGCAGCACAGCAATTAATTCAGGTAGTTTCATTATTATTATTGTGACTCTGATCCTGAGTTGTTCTTTCGTAGGTATTTGGTCTGATTGCTGGTCTACTGTTCGCCTATGACACTTATACCATCTTCTTGCAAATCAAGAGCACCAGGCAGCACACAGCAGCTTCCACTGGTGAGAGCAACAGATATTCACTGTATCATGGCTTCCCTAAAAAAATAATCTTTGTGGCAATAATTCCATTTTTACATTTTTCTCCAATGTCTGATTGTTTTTTACACAGATGACAGAATTTAAACACTCCACAACACATGCACCTCTGCCAAGATCACAGCAGAAGAACTAAGGGGAACTTGTGCAGAAGGTTAACAGAAGAGTGGATCAGAGAGGACGATGGACAGTAAAATGAACAGGTCACAGTTTAATCACCGCCACTGTATGGTGTGTGCAGGATAGACAACAGATTTCTTTTAGGGACTTGCCTGAGAGGAGGATGACGCAGCCAAAGTGAGTGGTACTGTACATCTGTGCCTGTACGTCAAGACAAAATCGTATCTACTAGAGGTGTAACGGTACGTGTACTCGTCCCAACCGTTCGGTACAGTATGTTTGGTTTGGTATGCAACTTCTTCGGTTCTGTGCCGCAAACAAAGTCAAAATGGTCTTGTAATGTCTACTACTGCACGTGTGGAACAGAAATTCTGGAGCATGAGTTTTACCTTGGTGCACCAGTTGTTTTCTATTATGTGTCAAGTAGCAGATCTAGACAAAATCAGGCTAGTGCTAATCAACTCACCTGGCGCTGCTCCCCTGAGCCATCCCCACATCGGATGGCTCCCTACTCCCTACCATGGCGATGGGCAACAGGTGCAAAGGTGCTCTTGGGAGGACCAGTTGGTTAACTAGCTGGCATTCAGGGTGAGACCAAGCGGCAACTTCCAGGGCTAAAAGTAAAGCAGCCATCACCTCCCTGTAATTCATTTTTACTTTTTTTTTTTTTTTTCTTACTGACAATATGTCAGTATTTAAGTGCCTTGAAGGTGGTATATACGACATTCATTCATTCCGGGCTGGGATTGCCTCCACACGGCTCTCACCTCTGACTTCACAAGCAAAGATGGAGGTGGCTGAACCGAAATGATTGCAGCTAGCAGTTGTTTGCGCTAACAGTGCTAACAGTGTCAACCGTGCAGACAGAGTTAACAGTGCTAACTTGGAGGGAACCAGGGAGTGGGCATTACACACTACACAATGCCATTACCCCGCCCGCCACTGTGGGTGAGGATGGCATTATTAGCTGTATTCTCATATGAGCCGGTGCAGAGCAGTGGCGATTAGCTAGCCAGTGGGACACACACAGGGACTCATACATGCACAGCTGTCCTGGCTACCACAACAAAGAACAAAGAAACTCTGATTACAATACACACAGATGGAGCGTGACTTCATTCTCTGTTCAGGATGCCATTACTCCACTATATCTTTACATAGCAAACAGTTTGTTGCTATATTAATGTTCTGAATGTCATATATAAAACCTTTAACTGTCACAGTAAGAATTATGGTTGAATGTTTATGTTTTTATTGCATTTTCTTCTCCTCCTGTACCGAAAAACGTACCGAACCGTGACTTCTTTGTACCGTTACACCTCTAGTATCTACTAAATGAGGAATTCCCCTCACAAACCTTCACTCCAACCTCAAAGTACCACTGATTAAAAAGGGAAAACTGTAAATAATAGGCAATGGTTGTCACCAAGCAGCTTGTCTAATACACACATCTACTGTTAATGGACTGCTGTAGTAAATAGTAACTGTGTCATTTGGACATTAGAAGTAACTGACACATGAATGGGTAATTTAGGGATTGTTTAACATCATAATTATGCACTTCTTGAGTGTTGTATTTGTTGTATCTCCAGTGAGGTTTCTCAGCTGGCCGAACATTTCCTTCTCTGTTATTTAATCATCGCTCTTTATGGAGTGCTCCCTGTGTGTTACAGTGCCTTAAAGTCAAATTAACCAGTTCATATTCTTGAAGCCTAAACATTTGAAGTGTCCTGCTGTCATTGATCAGCAATCTTTTTGTACTAATTTGAGTTTAGTCTGCGTTGTTAGAAGCAGTTGACGTCCGTTAACGTTCAACCACATGTTCATTATTTGAATTACAGTGTCATCCTCCTGTTTCACCTATCTTACTATGATTGTCGCTCAGGTTGTTTTATTTTTCATACATTTTTAACACATTTTTAAGGTGCAGAATATTTTTATTTTGACATTTTATACAGTCCCAAGTACAGCCCAGCTTTTTTTTTTTTTGTTGATGAAGCAGATAGAAAAAGAAAAATCACATCGTTGGAATTGTATGATGTGAATATCACAATTTATATTGTTCTGTAACTGTTTCCTCTACCCTTTGGTGGTTATGTGTCCAAGTAAAACATTGCCTTATTATTATTTTTTCTAACATGCTTTACAAGAGTCTGCAGTTTGTAATTTCAGATACAAAGCAGTCTTGCTTTGGGAAATAAAAGCCATTGTTACTACAAAGAAAAACTGTTTTTGTAACTTATATTGTACACTAATCTTACTAAAGCAGCTTCATTAACTGTGTGTTGATGGATGCTTTTGGGTTTGACTTGCCTTCTATCAGATTGCCACTAGATGGAAGCAAACTGTTGCTCAAAATCTGAAATGAATTGCTATGTTTTGTCCCACCAGCAAGGAGTAAGACTGAGTTATTGCAAAAAATACCAACATAGCTTTGGTGGTGTTTTCTCCAGTCTTTCTTTAGATTGCTGTTGTTCAGATATTATCAGGAACTATGCTTTCACACACTACCTGCCAGGATTTTAACTGACCTGGTGCAGCATGCATCTGTGATCTCTAATCTCATCTGAAATGTTTCTGTTGCAGACAGAACGCATGCTGTCCGCCTCTTTTCATTTTGAGATTACATTGTGTTTATGAAAATCCTTTCCTACTTTGCTTTCTCTCTGTGCTGCCGCATTCCACTTGCAATAACCATTACAGTTCATTACCTCCATGTCATTTTAAAGACCCACAGTGGAATGATAATCCTTTGTTTGGGGTCATACTGACTTGTTATCAAGTGTTTCATATTTCCTCATCTAAATATTTATGTAGGAATATTTATCACACCAACTCCTCCCATGCTGTGTGTGTTTTCCTGATGTGACAGTTTGATCCAGACTTTGCAGATGCAAAAATAAAGGCTAAACATGGTATGAATCAGAAAGTATAGAGGGGATTTTTACATCAGAGTTTAAACAGAAGGATTTGTGTGCACAGTGTTTAACTTGCTGTAGCCTAGGTGAAGTACAGGCCAAACTCTGGGACAGTTGGCTGCCTGTGTTCAGGTTTATGGACAGGAGAGGTAAAGCTGGAGCTTCGTAAAGTTAGGTAAGGACTGTCAAGATGGCGCCCAGACCTTCAAAATAAAAGCGGGGATGGAATTGGTTTGAATTTAAAAAGTCTGTTGCTACATATGTTAATTATGAATTTAATTTAATGTGTGTGTAACGAAAATGTACATGTTAATTTAGTGTTTATTTAGTCTCTTTTCAAGAAATGTCGAACATATGTGTTCAGAGGTGTTTTACTTTGAAATGTAAACCGGAAGTCGCATTTGTCAGTTAGGCTAGCTTGTCAGTTGCCGAAGTAGTTAGCTAAGGCGGAAGGAGGAGTCCGGGCAGTCTGGAGGGGGACATCATGTAGTTAGTTCAGCACAGACTGTGTGAATTAAAAATTCAGACCTCAGTGTTCCTTCTCCTCTGTTGTATTCACCTGGAAACTCATCTGTGTTTTTAACATCCACCCGACACCATGTTCCTCCGCGGATCTAAAAAGCGACGGTCCAACCGCTCGGTAAGTGTCTATTTTTTGCCATTAATTTCTTAAATGACTTCACAAGTCAGTAAACTCTTTTGGTAAACCTGTTGCCATCTTTATTTAATGCTTCACATACTTGAATGTTGTTTTTAATTCTTCCTCTGCTTCACTGCCATGGTTGGACTTGAAATGAACTTGTAACGTTAGGCTATTCAAGTCCGACACTGAAAACAGCCCAAGCGGAACTTTGTCCCACCTTCACCTGGCTTTTGTGTCGGCAGCCTCCATTGTTTTCTGTACAAGGAAAAAAGTCCCATTCCTTCACAACACTTACAAAATATGTAACTTTATTTTATTTTACTGTACACCTGAAACTACATTCTTTGTTTCTTGAGTCATTTCGGGCGCCCCAGGTATAGTCAGGAGGGTTCAGACTACGTCATAGATTTTTTTTTTCTTTTACCTGAGCAGGTAGGTGATGTGTTAGCTGTAACCTGAACATGTTTTTACCTTTGTCAGGTTTTCATTACAACAACAATTGATGCTCTGTTAGATTATGTGCAGGCTGGAATTTTGCCCAAAACACAGCCTATATGGTCAGGTTACTGATCAAATGAAGCTTGTTTTGGGACCAGACTAACAGCTGTGTGGCCATGAAACATCTGGCTCTGCAGCACACTTGGATTAAATCCAGACAGTGACTGTGACTCCAACTACCTCACTACTGTCTGTAAAATTATTAGACGTAATGCACAAGTCTAACAGCAAACCACATCATAACACCTTTTATGAATTTAGCTGAACTCTGTTTGTAAGTTTGTACTTAAATATTCTGTTGCAAGTAAAAGTCCTGCATTCATACTTTTACTTAAGGAACAGTGCAAAAGTATTAGCATCACATTATGCTTAAAGTACCAAAAGAAAAAATAATGCACAATGGCCAAGAATATTGTGTTTGATTATAATTATTGATGCATTACTTTAATGTTGCAGCTGGAAAAGTTTAGGCTAATTTTTATTTCTATATAGTCTAATAGTCTAATCTTACCTTTACCTATGATGATACATCATGTTTAATTTGTATTGATAATCTGAAAAGTATCTTAGTTCTTAATTAAATAGTTTTCACCACTTGTATTTAATACAGATTTTGCAATTTATATGCAACATGTCCGTTTATTTAAGTTCTTTAACACTAAACGCTCAGGACACCTGTTCCCACCTGACACATTCAATAACTGCACTCAGGTATTAATGAATACCATCAATGTTTTATGCAACACCTCATTACATCAGCACTCCAAAAGTGAGTTTTGACTCATGTTACAACACAGATGTTAACAAGTGCAAAGTATATCAAACACTTGTGTAAGATGCATGTATTTTGACTTTAGTTTGTTTAAATATGGTTAAAATTATTTGTAGTTTATCAGAGCAGGAAGTGAATGAGTGATTTAGTGTCTATGTCATGATAATATGAGATTAGATACCATCTGGAATTTCAGTTACGATACACATAAAATGTCTTCATTTTCCTAACAGCTGCACTGCAATTAAGAAATACAATTTTGTGAATTAATCTAAAAGAAATTAACAATACATGTCTATAGTATAGAGTACCTCCATAGCCATCATTACAATGATTTTATCACAGTGATAGTGTTACTGTATCCCTAGTTTAGATTAGATATTTTTGTATAGCTCCAATGATTATAACCAAATGAATGTAATATCATCAATATCAACTAAGTCAGATCGAGGCAGTCATAAGAAATATTTCCACAGCAGCATTTTGGTAAGTTAAATTAAAATACAGGATTTAAGTATTGAAAACCACACTATGTATACATTTCAGAGGTCAGGCCCAAAGCAACATTGGGCTCCATATGAAGCTCATGATGTTCCCCTCAGTGTCAAAGGTCATATACTTGCAAAACTCAAGTCTATGTATTTTAAACAACCTGTTATTATTCACTGTAGCAGCGTCAGCCAAATCAGTTTCAAATATTCATCATATGACTGTTTAACAGGTATAGAGAATGCAAAAATACTGTGACTCAACATGCGTAAACACTTGTTTTCCCAGTGAATGATAAGATGGATCTACAGTCAGATGGACTAACAAAAAAAATATACATATTACTGACTGATCAAAGCAGTAGTGTTGCTGTCACACGCCTGTTGCCACTAACTAGGCAAATTGTTGCACGACAAAACTCTACGTGCTCTTTGTGCAATTATTTTGTGACTGTTTTGTTTCTTTGAAGCTGTTATATTATGACAGTGTGCACTTAACCTGGGATTTGTTTTTACATTAGTGTGACTTGCAAACGTGTCAAGTTTGTAAATCAAAAAACACACTTTATTTTTAAGTTGAGACTTGCAGCAGAGGGCCACGGGCCAGAATCGAGCCTGTGGCCGCTCCGAAAAGAACACTGCCTTTATACACAGGGTGCCTGCTCTACCCACTGAACTACTGGGCGCCCTGAATATACAGCTACTTGACAGAGACAGCCAGCTAGCTTGACAACATGTACCAAACAGAAGTATGATGCCGAATGTGTTAAACAGTGCGGACCTCAAACTAATGACTAAGGAGAAATCTGGACTCTGTGGCTGCACCAGTTGGGAACCAATGTTTTACATAGTGGCTCACTGAATATCTAGCAACTGGCCTTTTTTGATGTCACAGTAGGAAGAGCACAGGTGTAAATAATCAGTTTGATTATGACTTAATCCCATTCAGCTGTTTGGGTTTCAGGGCCCCTTGTTGTGCACGCTGGCTCACTGTCACGAAAGGGAGCCATCGTTAATGTTATTAGTAACATCTGGGCTTTTCCATCTATAACAAATCAAAAAAAGGTGAGAAAGGCTGCCACTCACAACAGCACTGTCACGGATAAACCTTGTTTTTTGACCCTCAGAGTGACACTTGTACTTTGTGAACCTGTTCAGTTGTTAAATGTTGTTTGAGGCAGCAGGAAGCAGTGATGCAAAAACCGTAATAGCAACAAGAAGAGTTGGGCCACAGAGCGGGGGCTCGGTGAGGGCCGGCCTGCAGGCTGTCTGTTTGATCCTGTCCAGTGAGGAGAGGTGCGTCCACTCAGTGTGGCAAGGCTGCAGAGGCCCCTGACCTCTGAACTCTGCTGTTAATGTTTAACCCTATCTGCACCACAACACTGAGGAGAGGAGCAAAACCTAAATGACAGCCACTGTCTTCTGTTAATAAACTAAATAGTGCACTGACTGTTTTCCTCCCACCACTCACTTACATCACATCATTTAAGCTCTATTAATTATCCATTCTCTTATATTATTGTAAGTAATCACCAGCTGAATTAATGCCCTCTGATGTGAGATAACAAAGCTGGCAGGCGTTCAGTTTGTCCATTACCTGGTTACACGGTTACTTGGTAGCAGGAGAGATCTCAGGCAAACCAAAGCAGCGCGGCATGTGATTAAACCTTATACCCACTTAGTGAAAACAAAGGCGCTGATATGAAAAGTCTGACGCCGTTCTTAAGTGTGAGCATGTGAGCCGACGTGAACTTGTCTGAATGTACTATTTACTTTACCCACACTCAGTTTAGAAGAAACTTCCTACCACCACTCCCATCACATCCTTCTCTTGAGGCACAATAGGTAAACCTCATTGTCGGGCCACAGACTTGACGCATTATCTTTTGTGGAAGACTGAAAGGGAACACTCGTGAAGTGTCTGTGTAGCCTTGACATGTGGGACACTGTCATCGTGATAAGGACATATCCAAAGAAGTAGCTGGTAGAGACTAATGTCCAAGGCTGTTTCTGTTGTCATCAAAACACACTCATTAAAGAGTAAATTAAAGGTTCCTGCCTGATTAAATTAACCTGTTTTTAATGAGGAGAAACAACAGCTGGGAGCTCCAAAGATGTCCTTATCTAGTTTGATTTGTGATCACATGAAGTGCTAATTAAAACCAAGTTGGCAGACTTTTATGCATTTTTGGATATGTTTACAAATGAGACCATCTCCTTGTTATTTTGTTTTTTAAATGAACCTAATTGGATGAAGTGTGACCTTGTCAAACTTGTATTTAACACTGTGAATATCAAGGATGTTCTCTTGTTGTTTGTTGCCATAGAAATGGAACTAAATAGTTCAGGACAGCAGCTGTGGGATGTAACTAAGTACGATTACTCAAGTACTGTATGTAATAACAATTCTGAGGTACTTGCACTTTGAGTATTTCAATTTTATGTTACTTTTTACTTCTACTCCACTTCATTTTGGAAGCCAAAATGAACCCTACAGCTTCGTAAATTCAGATTATTATTACAAAATTTATATAAACTAATAAATTATGACACATTTTTATGGATACAGGTACTTGGTAGCATGCAAAGTATCTGAAATTAGCACCACCTTTACCTACAATAGTGATTCTTGAATGTATCACTAATTTTTATCCAGCAATATACCATAGATTTTTCTGAAATGGACCATTCTGCGTAATGAGTAGTTTTACTTTTGGTACTTTAAGTATATTTTAAAGGTAATACTTTTGTGCTTTCACATAAGCAGCATTTTGAATGCAGGACTTTTACCTGTAACAGAGTATTTCTACACTCTTGTAATAGTACTTTTACTTAAGCTTAAGATCTGAGTACTCTGAGTAACTTTCTGGGTCAGATCACTAAAATAAAAAAATAATCGACTAATAAATTATGTATGTTTTTTCCGAATTAAGGTAAGCTCCACCTTTACCAGCTGCAGCATCTGTGATGCTTACTCATTAGCACGTCATTAATTAATATCCAATAATTTAGTATATGTTATTCTTAAATGGGTCATTCTGCATAATGAGTTCTTTTACAGTAAAGTATAATCCAACACTAATACTTTTGTATTTCTGCTTAAAGTTTTGAATGTAGGGTTTCTACTTGTACCAGAAAAGTATATCTACACTGTGGCACTGCTACTTTTACTTTAGTAAAGATCTGAGTATGTCTTAAGTAGTATGAGTAAGTTTAAGTCTTTTCTCAGGATTCCTAATCCTTCACTTTTCATTACGTCATGATTGCACCCGTGCTTAACTCTTAATTACTATCTGCCTGTAATTGAGTGAGCATCCATGGTGATGATGTTGAGCCCCTCATCACTTTTTATATCAAACTGTTTTAGAATCAGTCCAAGTCATTATGCTGAGTTTAATCTACCGTAGGCAGACCTCCATCTCATCAACCTCCCTGGCCTCTGGAGAAATTCAAGTACAAAGCTGTGTATAGAGGGGCAGAGACACAGCATGTTACACCGGACAATGGACTTGTAATACTACTCTCAGAGGAATTTCTTCTTTTCCAATCAGAAAATTCACCTTTGTGACCAGAGATGAGCATTTTTCAACTCACAGCTGATTGAGAATCTGCCTCTAGATTTCCAGATGTCAGTTTTGGGCTATCCTAATTTCCTCCCACCTCTGTGATGTTGATCGGACTACACAAGATTACCCTGACCTACAGCAAACCCTCATTTATATATCTAACATGATACCTAAAACATGTCTAATCCTGTGTGTAACATAACCGTCTTTAAAGCTGGAGTTGGTAACTTTATAAAATTAACTTTTTTTTTTTCATACTTGCTAAAACTGTCACTATATTCCACACAGCAGTATAAAAGACGGATAATCTGTGAAAAAAAAAAACATCGTTCTTTTGCCTCCTCAGAGTCGCTTCTAATGATATTACATCCCATGAACAAAAGCAACCAATCAGAGCTGAGGAGTCTCTAACGCAGCTGTCAATCACTGCTTGTGAACTGTGGCCAAACTGTCAAAGTCAGCAGCACTGATCAAATACGAATCAAGATTCTGTTACTGTGTGCCTATTTCTCACCTTAAATGTTTTCAGAATCATATTTTAGTGTACTGTTTAGCTGTATAATGAGAGGTTTGCTCCAGCTGGTGGACAGTACTCAGTACTTGTCGACTGTATCCAACATGGCGGCCGGGCCTTCTCAGCTCTGATTGGTTCTTTTCGGTGCACCGTGGTAGAGGTGGGAATCACCAGAGGAGCCACGATACGATATTATCATAATACTTAAGTGACAATACAATATTATTGCGATTTTAAATGTATAATGATAATAATAATAATAATATTATAAATTTAATTTATATGGCACCTTTCATATAAAAAAATGCAGCACAGTGATTTACAATAAGGGCAATACAAGCTCTGAGTGCTTCAAGCAGGAGAATTAAATAATAAGACCAGTTTCGGTACATAAATGTTGTAAAGAAGTTAGTGATGATCCTGCTCCCCAAAACTTTTAAGTTAATATGATTTTCTTATCGTCTACTTTTAAATGTGCACTGACGAAGGCTTCAGGTTAAAAACAGAACTGATCAAAACGTGGCCCGAGTGCAGAAAAATACAGTGAAAACATGAACATATAAAGTATCATTACATTGAAAGGAGAGTCAGTAACACCCTGTAGTATCCTGAAGAGTAATCACCGTAAGTCGGCTACAGTTTCCAAAGATGTTTTTATCCTGCAGCTATTTGCTTTCATTCTCCGTAATCTTAATAAAAGAGATATTTGAGAGCGTAGCCGTACACCAGTGTTAAATGTACAGGCACTTTGTAGTGTGTGCCCCCCACTGGCTCAGTCACCACGTCAGTGTGACAGCTCAGGAACTCCCTCCTGAGGAAATAACATCTGAAAGGTCCAGTCACCCAGAAATCATCTGTACGCTTCATTTAGCCCCTCTTGTCACCTTTCATACCTGACTCTGTTAATGACGATCAGAGTGAATCAAGGGGGTGATTAAGTGAGCACAGCAAAGAGCAGAGTGCACACAGCAAGGCATTTTAAAGCACCACTTAAATTATTGTTTACTGTCATGTGGTACTATTCTAGACTAACCCGTTCTGGAAATACTCATTCAGTGCACATAGCCAAATATCTCCACTCTGGAATCATGTACTCAAACTGAATAATTTCTGATAAAAAAAGGACATTAAAAATCAAATTATGCTCAACAGTACAAGAAAACAAGCTGCTGATTGCTCCCAGTTCATGTATCTGTGGTTTCTCAGTGCATTAGTGAAACACTTTCAACCCATGCTACAACCCTCAGATATCAGTGAGATAAGCAAAGCAAACTCAGCGTTATTCTAATCAAAGTAATGCTTTTTTTTGCATCTGTTAATGTAGAACTCTGCATGGGAAAACAGGCTTGGCGTGAACACTGATGGTTTAGTGGTTGAGGCTGTTGTCCTTATGAAGGTGTGTGGTTGGAAAAAGAAAGATCAAAACAGCTGAGCTTGTATGCACAGGTACCTCGCCGTCTCACATATTTGCGTTTTATTGCTTTGCTCGTTAAATTCTGCTAGCATGCATGTATCCTGCATCTTAACGGGCAGCTTGTTTATGTGTTTGAGAAGAGCAAGTACTGTTTTTATAGTGAAGTTTTGTCTGTGCAGCCTGTTTTGAAAATGTCTTGATCTTTCTTTTTCAGACAGAAGTGCATATGAGGCACATGCTTTGTCCTTCTGCTCTGAATGCTCCAGTGGAAAACAATAGCGTCACAGAATCCTGAGGTTTCTTTCACTAATTCACTGTAAAAGGGAATTTTTTTAGGGGGCGGGGTTTCCTTATCTGAATTGAGGGTGTCACATGCTGTATAAATTTCTGATTTGTGATATTTGGCTAAATTAGTAATGACTTGAATCCCGTCTCAGAGGTAGGAAAAATAGCTAATAGAGCGCTAATAATACAGACCAATTTTCTTTATCAGCAGTAAGCTTTCATGACAGAAGACAGGAGAGAATTAAGGCAACAAAGAAAAAGAAAGTGGAGACAAAGTGACTACATGGAGAGGGAAAGGGTGCAGCTCTCATCCTGTGTCTGCTTCCTTCCTCTCATCTCTAAAAAGAGGCCCGTGTCTGCAGTCTGCACACACACATATGCACACACACGCTGGGCTGCAGGAATCGAATCAGAAGTGAGATACGAGGTAGTTGGTGTAGCTTTTGGCTAAGTTAGATGCACCGCTCAGCACTTTTATCAAAGGCATTTTTAGTTTACTTTAATTCCTAAAACTCACAGTTAAATATACCTGTAACTGTGTTTGAGGTCTCAAGCTAACAGTTTTACCTGTGGACTAAATTCTGGATATCACTCACTTTTTTTGTGTCTGTAGGCAGCAAGCAGGGTTAACACTCTCTGTAAGATTCAGTCCTCACTCTATTGCATTGACTTGTGATTGTGCACACTCAACAGGACATAATCCAGGAGAGATTACTGTACAGTCAGCTGTAAGAAATGCTGCATTCATGTGCTCCACGGATGGTCAGTTGTTGTTTCCAGAAGTAGTTCCTCCGACTTTGGTGTTTTCCCGAGCTTTAAGTCATAATGAAGAAACCACATGGACGCTATAAAGAAGATGTGTTGTATTTTATTGCTTTATAGTATTTTAAACTGCAAAACTAGGAAATATGACCACATTACTCCACTTTTAAAACAATTTCACTAGCTATCTGTCACTCAGAGAATTGATTTTTAAATCTTGCTGTTGTTGCATAAATCACTCTGTGGCTCAGCGCCCAAATATATCTCTGATATGCTTGTGACATATGAACCTTTTAGGACCCTTAGGACGTCTGGGGCCGACCTACTGACCGTCCCAAGAGTAAGAGCAAATCATGGTGAAGCAGCGTTTTGTTATCATGCAGCACAAACCTGAAATAATCTCCCAGGTGATGTCAGACTAACCCAGACTCTGACCACTTTAAAGTCAAAGCTAAAAATGTCTGTTTTATTACTGTCTACTCGACCCTGTAATAACTGCAAACTTATTTTAAACTTGATTTTAAATCATTTTAAATAATATATTTATCTTTACACCGCTTGTCCGCACTTTAATTACTTTTAATGCTGATTTTTTTTTTTTGTAAAATTTTATAATAAATTTGATCTTTTATATCTTTTCTCTTTACTCTTTTATTACAAATCTGTATCCTCTATTATGTTTTACATTTTATTGCACTGTAAAGCACTTAAAATTGCCCTGGTGTATGAAATGTGCAATACAAATAAAGCTGCCTTGCCTTAAATACATGAGGCTTTACCATTACATCCCCTTAAACTGCTGTCTAATGCTGATATAAGTAACTTTCCTAGGTCACTCTACATGGATAGCATCTAACAGTTACAACCTAATACGCTATTGCAAATAACATGAGAAAAGAATTGGCATGCAGTATGTGGATTAATAAAAAGTTTATAATTATCAACCGAACATTTACTTTCCTCCGCCATATTTCTGCACATATGACGTCAGCTCTGCTACTTCTGTACCAAAATTTCCGACTTGAGGGGTGTTCATGGAATTTTCCCAGTCAGGAACTAATTTTCCTGATTATTCCGACACCACGTGAATACAGGGAAAATCATGTTTTGTACAGTATAAGCATAGAAACACATTTTGAGCACAGAGGTGTATTCACTCTCACCGGTGCTGTGATTGAACAGTTTATGCTGTCAGCCATTCTAATGGTTTATATCTCTGCCAGTTCAAGCGCACACACAGCAGCATGATGATGTAGGATTTTCATAAAGTGACATCATCATATAATACATGGGTAATCTATCAACTGCCCATACTCCACCTCAAACGCTGCTGAATGAAAAGCTGAACAGATTGACTCTAAGTGCATTCAGCTCATGGCTTTAGTGGAAACACTGCTCACTTACTCACTCAAAATGATGTTGATGTTTCTGCGGCCATGTCTGGCAAACACCGTAGGTGCTAACTTTGCTGTTTTAACCTTTAACTTTCTTGAGCAGAGAAGGTATGAAATGATGTTGAGCTGAAAAGAGTCTGTGTTTTGTTTTCAGCAGGAGGAAGAGGACCCAGACAGAGGGCAGCCCTGTATGCGCTGTGGGGACCAGTGCCCCGGCTTCCGGGTCCATGGCTGGAGGTATGTCTTAAACATTGTCGGCGCTGCCTGTTAGCTTAGCAGGAAATGTTTTTCTCAGACTTAATATTCACCTTTGGTAGAGTTGCACTTTGTCCTGCTGCTGTTTGGACCTTGTGCAACTTCTGATAATAAGCAGCTACTCAAAAGGAAGGTCTAAAGTCAACTTTTTTAAGACTTTTTTAAGGCTGTTAAAATTCAAAGATATGATAAGCAAACACTTTTAATGTTTTTATTAAGGCTTTAAAAACGGATTCTTTAGACTAAGTTTCAATATTATTTTACATACCAGGTAATATATGAATATTTTTATAACATGCAGCCAACCGAGACATTTTATCTCATGTGTGCAGCTATCAGCAAGGACAAAATTTGACTGTTTCTGATTTATTCACCAAATATAAAAACACTAATATTTTCTGCTCTGTAGGTTTGTAAAAGTGTAACAAGTAGATGTATAAGAACCGATAGTTCAGGAGTCAAACTGTGTGTGTGTGTCTGCAGATGTCTTAGGAAGGACATCAACATTACTACCAATGGAAATCAGCTTAACTGTGATCTGTGCACACACTGAGTGCAGATATACATTAAAAGACAACAAACATGACCCAGTCAGGGCACCGCATGATATTCACAGAGCCGATCAGCCTTACTGACCCTGTGGCCACGAAGAATCAGGGCTGCAGACTCGTGAGTGCCATTAAGCCCTGACAATTGCAGCAGAAGCAGCTGCATTTAGTTTAAGTTGACTTTATCTTCATGGGAAAACAGGAGCATAATCTGACACAACAGATTATTTTCTTTAGCGCAGATCAACCTAGTGTTCATCTGGAACAAGGCGAGATCTGCTCAGCAGAAGGATGAGTGTTATGTAGGATGTGCATATTGTGTTTTGGACTGTTTGGAGAGTTTCTGTAACTGTAGGAGGTTCGGCAGCAAAAAAGGCTTTAAATTCTTGCAGTTCATGCTTTTTAAGGCACGAGCCACTTGAAATGTCCGCCTACATACCTCTTACACCTATTTGTTCTGGAGTTGTTAGCTGTCAGAGGCTGCTGAACAACAATTTATTTCATTCTGTTAAGCAGGTTTTCGCGTGCTTTCCTTTGAGCCCCCCTTTTCTTTTCCCTCCTCCTTCAGTCTGTTAGTGAATATCCAGCTGGTTGGGTCTCTATGTTACTCTAATCCTGTCAATCACGCTAATAAGATTAGGCCTCGCTGCTGTGATAGTAACCCTCCCGACCACTTCATACCTCCCTCTGTCTCCCCCACTGTCTCCACATTTCAGTGCTGCTTTCCCTGTTCTAGTGTGACATTTGTATTTCATTTAGTGTAAAAAAAATATGAAACACTAGACGAGCACTCAAGAAGAACAGACCTCTGCTTAAATCAAAAGTAATATCTTGCAATGTTGAAGGTGAAATTTACATTATTCAGGACATTAACTTAGAGCTGTTTTGAATACCAGTATTTGGGCATTGAAGCTTCAGTGAGAAAGATTCATGATTAATCAAAGCCTCAGGGACGGGGGGAGTAAACGAGATACAAGGACATCACTCGGTGCGCTTAAATGAACATGACAGTTATGAGGTATGAGATTTTCGTGGTACGATAACCGTTTAAGAAAATATTATGGTATAACAAAAGTGTCATTATTATCAAGTACAATGACCCTCAATGGAATGAAACAGAAGGTTTATCCTTTGGTTGAACAAACATTTTATTACTATAATTGAAACTTGCAACCACATTTTTAACAATGGAATTACATGTCAAAAGTCTCCGTTTTCAAAACAACTAAAGTAAAGGTGCAATTCTCAGTCCAGTTGCATTTTTTGAATACCATAGATAAGCAAATAGTCAGTTTCCATACCACAGTACACCTTCAAACCGGTATACTGCTGCAACCCTAGTGAAAATTTGCCACTTTGTCAGCACGCAAGTCACACATTAGCCATAATAGTTAGGAAAAATAATACCTTAAAAATGGCTAAGCTAAGCAGTTACTTAAAGTTTTCATGTGAGGTTGTAGTGGATGTGTGACGTACCAGTTTTTTTGTGTATATCTGGCACTTGACTTTTGGGGGTCATTTTCGCAAATTTTGAAACTACTCCAGACACTTGACTTGTTGAGGTCTTGCTAGCGAATCTGTAAGCCTGTCAGCTGTAGTTTAACTGTCCAGTTTCAGAAGTGCTGGCCTGCTGGTGACTGACAGCAGATGAGAGCAAGTGGGAGTCACAAACAAACGGAGCAGTTAAATACTGGTTTTGACATTGATTTCAATTGTGTACGTGTAGGTGTTGTGTAATTATTTCTGTCTATTTTTCAAATTGTTTTATATTCAGGCATGACACAGCAAATTTAGTTGTACTTCTTGTGCAATGACAATAAAGTCCATTTGTTTCTATCTGTTCTGATTACTATGGCAGTGATTGAAGCATCAAAGCATTTTGGTCAGCCCTAAATTTAGCAGCAAATGACTATTATCAGTGTCCTGGCTGGCGCCGGCGGTATGATCACACTGTTAGCTCTATCAGCACTGTTGCCGTCGCTAGCACTGCCCTGCTGGCCGCCACCATTTCGACTTGGCCTTGGCTATGTTTGCTTTTGACGTCTGAGGTGAGAGCTGTGTGCAATCCTGGCATTAGACTGTGAATGTCGTATATTCTGAAGTGAAAAATTATTTGTGTATCTGCCCCATCATTTGGTTCTGCCTCAAACTTGATTGGGCTCTTCCTTCCTGAGTTACATGAAAAATTGGAGTAGTAGTTTTTCCATAATCAGTGCTGACAAACAAGCCACACACATGACCTCCTTGGCAAAGGTAATGACTATTTGTATATTAATAATTAATTTAAGTATAAAAGAAGAAAAGGGTCAGTCATTTGGAAGGAAGCTGTATAATCCAAATGATAAATTTCATTTTTCCAAGTACACTGTGTTTAGTGTCTCCAGACTCTGAGACTGTAGACTACAACCATCAGGTTTGACACACAGCTAGACAAATGAAAAACAAAGGACAGAGATTTATATCTGGTAACGAAGGCTACGTTCACAATCCCAGATGGGGCGCTGCATGGCTGAAGCAAACTGTGGCTCGTACATGGAGAGAATAAAACAAAAGGCACAGGAATGCGTACTTCATGTAACCAAAAGACTGTAATTGTATCTTTTAGCTTTTTTCCAGTTTTGTTCCCTCTATTCAGGTCAAGACAAAAGCTTAGAAGTTAGGATGTAATCTAAAACACGTGTGCTGCTCCCTACCTCCAGCCACACTCTGGTGGAAGTCTTGGCCCTGAACGCATCAGTCTGTTTACAGTATCTGTGCAGAATTAACATAACGCTGTTGGGTCTGTGGAAGTTTCTCAATTATGCGTTTGGCTGGAGAACGGATCTGAAATTACTTTTGGGTGAGAGGACAAAGAGAAATGTCTTGTTTAGACCTTTCAAGTCTCTCAGCTGATCCAGGAGAACGAGGGAAACATGAAAGTGATTAAATGATTGAGATTTATGGGGGTCAGCTTTTAAGACCCCAGAGTCCCGGTGCTAATTGCATCTTCCTTAATAACCAATTTAGAGCCACACCTTCCCTGATGGAGAAGATCATCCAAGTGACCACGGGCTTAACTGCTGATGCTCGCTGAGAGGGAAGTGATCCATCTTCATCCTGAGCTTTCTCAGACAGAGCTTAAAGTGAGACGGGGGGCAGATGGCGCTTCCGCTGCCCAGCAGTGAGTGAATTGAGTTACTTTTGACCCACAGGTCCCCGCCACGCTTCAAAAGTGTTCAAAGTAGCCTTTGCTATTAGTCTGGGTGGCCATGCGGCAATTACTCAGTCACTAATTAGTGGCAGAGAGCTATAGGACAAGACCCATCTGTTTCTGAAAGTCAGATGTACGGAGGGCTTCACTATCCATCCTGCAGTGAGCTATAGATTATCACACAGCAGCAGAAGAGGATTATCCTATGGCTGCTTTCACTGACCCACAATATATCTGTATACCCCAAAACAGTCCAGATTGGCTGTTTGAAAGTTAGATGTCTAAAAACTTCATAATGTTTGGCCTGTGAGATTATTTTTAAGAATAATTATGACTTGTTTTATCTGACCAGCAGTCGAGTATGAAAAGATATCCAGTTTACAATTATGCAAGACAAATAAAAGCTGAAAATCTTCACATTGTAGAAACTGGACCAAAGAGTATTTTGGGCATTTTTCGTGAAAAATCTGAAAGATTGACCAATGAATTTATCATTTATCTGTCACAGCTTTACATTGCAGCTATCACAACTAAGCAGCATCACTGAATCTGATGCTGGAGTTGTTAAACTGTTCCTTTAAAGGGGAGCACCACCTAAATTAAGAATTCCAATATGTTAATTTTTATGGCCCAAGAAAGTTCAATCAGTATTTGTGAACATGAGCTACCCTCTCAGCGCCAGCAATCAGAGAAGTGAGTCTCAAACTTGTGATGTCAAGTGCAAAGTGTAGACAATGAATTGGGGGATGAATTTGTGGACCTACAGAATATTTGTTGTCTTTTTTATACCCAGATCAGCTGTATTCTATTGTAGCGTTCTCAGTTGTGAAACAGAAAATGTACCCCAGAGTTTCTACGGTTTTTGAAAACCTGGAAATGTTGTGGCAATTTGCAGTCTTGTTTTTCAGGCCAAGGAAAGACATGGACATAGTAACACCCATGAGAGATTTGGAAAAATCATGGAATATTGTTTTATCTTTTTTCTTTCTTTTATCTTTTATAGTTATATTTATTTTCCCGAGCTGATGACAAAAAGTAGCTCTAATGTGCATCAGTGTGTGAAAGCGTGTAGTTTAAGTTTCTTCGTTTTCTCCCCACACTCCATCTCTCCCTTCACGTATACCAGCCAGCAGGAATTATGTCTAAATAGAGTTGAATCTGATATGTTTGAGTAAGAGAAAAACAATGCTGTGACAGTGAGATTTAATATGTTAAAGTTTCCTTACCTTGGCTGTGCTCCACTG